GGAAGAGTAAGAGTGAGAAACACTCCTGGGTTGAGAGAAGAACAGTTTAATAATTGAAATAAAGTAAAATAGTAATGATAATAATGTACAAAGCAAGTGATCCACAACGCAATGCTCACCACCCACCGACCGATACCCAGACAGTTCCCGAGCAGCGATCGCCGCTCCCCGGCCAACCCCCCCCAGTTTATATACTGCGCATGACGTCATATGGTATGGAATAGCCCTTTGGTCAGTTTGGATCAACTATTCTGGCTGTGCCCCCTTCCAGTTTCTTGTGTGCCTAGCAGAGCATGGGAAGCTGAAAAGTTCTTGACTAGTGTCAGCACTACTGAGCAACAACTAAAACATCAGCATGTTATCAACATTCTTCTCCTACTAAATCCAAAACACAGGACTATGCCTGCTACTAGGAAGAAAATTAACTCTATCCCAGACGAAACCAGAACACACGTACAAGCTCACACTCAGAATCCCACCACCCTCCTACATGTCCCAGCTGGCCTCTTCCTCCATTTCATTCACCAAATGCTCCTCCAAATTCTTCTGATCCACATCCCACGTTTTCTTTGCTGCTTCCAAGGACATGGACACAAAAGGGTACATAACGGGCATGAAAGGACTTGGGGAAGCCACTGACCAAAGCAATTTGGGAGCCACCACTGAAAAACACTTAGCGCACATTCCAGCTGTGTTTTCAGAAGGAGCAGAACCTAAACCAGAATATTTTCAGCATGTAATTTCTAGCCACAGCAGACAAGTTTTGGGGAACTTCCACCTCTTCCAATTTTCATGCTTCAGGGATGAGCATACAGGAGAAAGAATCGGTCTCGCCACTTGTATTAAAATGCTGAAGAGAAAGAGCATGAGGACCTTGACAAGAGAACTATATACAAAACCTGAAGTCTACTGTGAAGGAAAAGAGAAAACCAAGAACTACTGTTCTTACACGTATTTAGGTGGACATTTTAATGCTTTAATAAAAAATGTTTTCCCAAGATGAAATTAGAACCATTTTGTATTTCAGCAAATCACCTTAGACACGTTTAGCTGGATAGAAAGAAAAAAACCTAATAAATGCAACATCAGAAGTTTTATTTACAAATATACTGTAATTCAACAACCATTCTCCACTCAGTTTGTGCAGGAAAAAGTGATAGTTACATTTTTCCAAATAGGAAAAAAGAGAACTCTTCTCCTTAAATGGATTCCACAGAATATTATGCCAACACAACTGAGCAAACAGATTATTCTTTGTATTTAAGTTTCAAAAAAGCACATAATTTTAGAAACCAGCATATGGAAAGCAAACACCTTTGTGTGCATTTAAATGCAGCTTCATATTAACCTAGAGAACTCACTTTCAGTATATGTCAAAAATAAAGACAGCAATTGCAAATATATATTTATATTAGCTATTTCTCTAATGCTCATGTCAAGAGTTTAGAAACAAAATACCCTCTTCATATACCATTGGAAAATCAACTAGTTGATTATAAGCCTCAAAAATATTTTGAAGTTATTACTGAAAATATACTTATTCTCCCTTGTGCTCTCAGTACTTGAAGCTGAAAAAGTGAAAGCATTTTCCCCAGATATTTCTTTAACTGCAATTACTTTCTTATAAATAAAAATAGTTATATGAAGAATACAATGCATTGCTATGAGGACTAGACAAGCAAGAGTTACTCTTAGAAAAAAACACACATACACACAATATATATATTTATAGATCTACATCAGCAGCAATCACCTCTTCTTTTATCTGCAACAGTGGCTTCATATCTTCATTTGCTTCACATGGAGGTTGGTTGTCCAGCTGTTAGAGGGAGACAGAAGAAATTGTAATTAAAGTCTAGCTACTGAAGAATCTTTGTGGCAAAAATTAAAATTTCCAAGTTAAAAAGAGTCAAATAATGGTATTTCCAATACCTACTGAAAATGGTTAACACAAACTAAGGTATACATTCTGAATCTAGCAATCCAAATGTAATGAACAATACAAATTTGAGTTTAACCCAATCATAGCACTGCAAGTATTTCAGGCCAAGTAATATTCCACAGAACATGCACCTTACCAAGTTTTTAAGAATTATTTTTAGTATTAGCATACACAGGGTGACAGTTTTTCTAAATTTACCCTTCAATAATCAAATTAAAATTTGCTAAGTAACTATAGCAATATTAAAAAAGAACTTTATCTTCTCTCTGCATGTATTTGTGGGCATCTGCCAATACACTGGTGTTTTGCTGCAGTGTTACAAGTTTAAACCACAAAATTAACGTAAAAATGTGCAAAAATATCACCATAAAATTACACAGTGAATATTAATAATCCTACAGTTTATCAGACCTTTTAGCCAATATGTTCACATTCCAAACTAAGAAATAAATAGCCAGGCTGATGTCAAGTGTCAACTGCAAACAAAGTAATCTGCATTACAGACCAGTGCTGTGCTGTCACTATATTTTCATTGCAGTAATCACATAGCTGGTTTTTGTACTATTCAAATAGCTAATTTCAAGTACTAATCACTCTTTTCAATGCTTTATTCTGTACCTACAGGTCTGAATAGAACTGCTCCTCACAGATCAGCTCTGCTTCTGAAAGGCACTGCCATGACTTTATGGGCTGTAATTTCAGAGAGACTAAATAGCAAATTATCCATGATAAAATTTTTGCTTACTTCCACCACCAAATTCCTGAATACTGTCTTGCCAGGAAATAATAAAAAACAGATTTTTTTTTTTTTAATACAACTCATACATCAATTTTGCCCACTAAAAGAAAAGATAAAGCAAAAATAACATGAGCAGGCTCCAGATTGAATCTCCCACAAGTTTGGGTGCTTCAAATAGGAACACGGTCACTTTGGTGTAGTCCTGTCATCAAGCAGGAGATAAATTCTCCAAACATTAACTCGGAGAGATATGACCCAATGCTCTGGATCACCTCTAGATGGAAGGGTGTGATTCTCTTCCTCCTTCCACTGATCACAGCGGCACCCTTACAACCTAACATTAGCCTCTGTGAATGCACTGTTAGCATCAAGGAGAGGTGTGAGGTTTTCTGGTTTTAGCTCAGGCACCACACAGTTATTTCTGTGTGCTGCAGGCAGCTTTCCCTCTTCCTAGAAGCCAAAGAGAGCCTGAAAACAGCAACAGCGTCAGATGCAGAGCTTCTCTTTTTCTGGGCTAGGCTTCTCAGCCAGCAGATGCCCAAGTCCTGCTGATGTGTTGTGGCATGAGTACCCTGTTCCCTTCACTGCCTTCTGGTCCACCATGAGAAAAATGTGCCGGGCTCGTGAGGAAATGTGAACACATTTCCCAGGAAGCAAATCAGAAATGCTTTCCCTTAGCTGAATTTTATCATTCTAGATAATTCCATATTTGCTACCTAAAAATAGAACCATATAGAACTCCCAAGACTTGTCAAAATTCGGAGATTGTCTACCATCATCTATGACAGCAGAAAAAAAACCCCAACAACTCAACACCATTATTAAAAGCCTTAACATCATGCTCCAGTAAATCAGAATTCTGCAAACGATAATAAAGGAAAAAAATTATACTGCACCTTTTAATTAAGATCTGTAAGTAAATCAATTCCTCCTGAACTTGTACCTAAATGAATAACCAATCACAGACCTATAATTCAAATAATAGCAGCATTGCAAAAAGAAACCAGCATTTGTGCCACCTGCACAGGATAAACTAATAGCTTTCCAGGTATGCGTTAGGATTGAATTAAACACATATTCAGATTACTTTTTTAACAAATGTAGACAATTTTTCAAAAAGACTTCTCTGTTATCAAGACAAGCCTGTTGAGCAACTGACAACTCCCTGACACCACTTTCTCAGATCTATGAAGGAAGCAGGATGACTATACCACATTGTCTGCTTGAAGCTGCTTAATAACAAGGTGGTAAAATCAGCTCCCAGGCAAGTTAAAAGTTAGGAATGACTACCCTACAAGTGACAGAAAATGGCAGTCAAGCCTTGCTAAACCTATTTACTAATATACCAACTTAAAGCTAAGCGTGAAAGCTATCAAGTGGCTCAGCTGTGCAAACACTTGAGGTTTTACAGCAGAAAGAAGAACTACCGTCATGCACACTGCAGTTGGATTGCCTTACTTTTAAATCTGATATAGCAGTCGTTGCAGAAGAGTTTGTTGTTTCGGATCCTAACTTCAGCTCCAGAGCGGGATCCCCCAAGGTCGCATCCACAGGCAACACACTGTACGACAGATGAATAATTAGCAACTCCTTACAAAATATCTAGAAACAAAAATGCTGTTCAAAAGCAGCTTGGATTAAGCTCAACAAAGCTTGAACCATAAACCCACAATCACTAGAAGCAAATGTGTAACGATTAGTAGATCAAAATGCAACCAACCCTGAGAAAGTATTATAAGGCGACAACTGGACAACGAATAGCAGAGATACACCAACTAAGCAAACATGGAGCAGACGGGTTTTAGAGGTTGGTTCATTAAATCTAATTTGAAATTCAGTTTCTCTGAAAACTAAAACTGGCTCGACATGAAAAAAAATCGTTGTGTAGACAGCAACAGCAATTTTGGCACAGAACACCTGGGTGTGCTACTTGCAGATTTCCATGCGGCACTATGTGCTGCTTGGTGTCCTCTGCCCTTTGGCAGTCAAAGCAGCAAATACTCAAGCACCCCCAATTTCCCGGGTTTGCGTCATAGAAACAAGTTCTTATTTGGAGAGAAGGGTCCAATTTCATTTTTCTTGAATAAACACATGAATAAAGGGCTTGATAGCTTTCATGCTAACATTAAACTATTTAACTATGGTGGCTGAACACATCTTTGCCCTGAGTACGAACCACCTCTGGAAGTACTGTAACCCAAAGCGTAACACTCTCCTTACTGAATTTACGAAGCAAAGTACTTGGCTGACTACAGAAGGACAGATAGTTTGCCTGCTTAAATGAGTAATGAACCTTTTGGATGGCAGTCTGTTCAACAGCTCATTAATCTTCAGAAATTGAAAAACAGAAATTTGTTATTTTCTTATGTAGGTTAGGAGCTACAGGTGGACTCCCTCGTACAGAACACATGTTCCGCAGAAAGGGAATGATGATGAGCTCCCATGGATTACTCTAGTCCCTCCTGCTCAGGCAGGCAGGACTAGTAAGAGCTTAGAGTATTCCAAGGGATTGACTCAAGGTGATGCATTTGAGCTGGGCACAGAGGGTTCTGTTCTGAACCAGACACAGAAGACTTTTTCTTGAAGCCATGGAAGAAGCAGGGTCCAATGGCACCTCCGAATCAGTCTAATTCCTCATCTGGTCCTAGGGCAGGGGAACTAGGAGTGCTTTTACATCTTTTACAGGCAGGCATTTATTCTTTCAGCTCTGCATATGCCCCAAGCTGACTGGAAATGACATAACCGTGTCTTGGTGCTGAGCATGAGTTAATATACCTAGCTGCTGACCAGGGTTGAGTAGCACTAATATACCTAGCTCCTGACCAGGGCTGGTTTGCACTAAACACAGCTTCCGGTTTGGTGCTGGGTTTCATCCTGCCAGTTTGAACACTGACAACATGCCTTTGCCTGGAAAATACCATGTTTGCTAGGATCATCTTAAATGATTCAATTGCCAGGGTCCAGGCTGAGATTTTTTTTTAAAGACCTAATTTCTCTGGGAAAGGTGGCTCAGCACCGTCTGACTTTTTGCTGTCTATTCGAAGAAGGAAGATCTTTGATGTCAGAGTCAACTTGTCCATTTTACTTGTCAGAGTCCTACTTGTCAGCTCTGGCATTTAAGAAGTAGTCCTAGAGTTGAGTGCTAAATGCCTGCAAACAGGACTGCCTCATGGAAATATGCATGCACCATGCTGTCAAGAGTAGAAGGCGAAGCAGGTGATTAGTAGAGCCCCTGTGAGCATAACACCGAGTAGCATGCGTGCTGCTGATTAGTTCCTGCTCCTTCATGATGTGACTCCCAGCTCTCACCTTAAAGCAATGTAAATGATAACAAAGACCAAGAGACTCAATGATCATGGCTGCTCCTTTGCCCAGAACGTTATTACAGTATGAACAGATTTTCTTCCCACTGACTGACCTAGATACAGAATGAAAATCCTTAAAACCAGCTTGAAAAGGTTTAAAAGACAAAGACAGGTTATCAAAGACTTTTTGAGATTAAAAATGAAAACATACTGGTAAAAAGTGGACTATTATGCTGCTTGGGGAAAATAAACTGAAAATTAGTATTATTTACAATAGATCTGAAAGCTAGGGAAAGCTGAAGTGTGAATTTAGATCAAAGTTACATAGGAACAAATGAAGAAATTCTGTCACATTCTTGAGAGATATTTTGTTGTATAAAATACCTTCTACAAATAAACATAAAAAGTATGTTGTTAAGTTTGGAGAGTAAGAACACAGGTTTTGTGCTCCTGCCTTATTTCTTATTTACAGGGAATTATCCCAAAGGCTAAGTTTTAGCAAGCACCCCTGTCAAGTCCCACCATCTGCACCTTGTTAGGTAACAGGAGGCTAGTCCTGGACATATAATATTATGTTAACTCTTTAAACATAAGCCATATGGAGGTCAGTTTCCATAGATCTACCAAGATGTTAGCAAATCGAAGTGAGAACAAGATAAGCAAACATGGTTAAGAAGGTAATTTTCTTACATTATAAAGAATGTAGGAGACTAGCTTTAAAAAAAAACCAAAAAAGGTCAATTTATCAAAGTGCCTGAGGGTGTAAGAGCTGTGAAGCAGTGTTCACACTGTTGTTATATATAATACATGTAATTGCGTGGGTATGATTCTCTATAGTCTTATCCCAAGGTATTTTTAAAATGTTTCAAGTACATAAAACAGCAAAGTTATCTATCCTACCACAACTGAATTCCATTTTTGTTTCAAAGTATGTTGCAATTCTTGCTTTCTCCTCCTAGATTAAAACCAACATTCTACTCTGTAATTCTCCAGGGTCATGGGGTATGAGCATTCCTGAGTGCTCCTTGAGATGATATTGACCACATGCCAGGAAAGGGGGAGGAGAGACCAAGATGAGGGCCATAAAGCATGGGTTTCAGGAATCTTTTGTTAAAACAAACCTAAGAAAATAAATGTCAGGCATGCCATCTGGAGTAGGCTTTTACTAATCATTTTGGTAACCAACATACAGCTTGGAGACTGGAGATTTATTATTCTAGTTCCTTTGTTTTTTTAACTGATGTCAAGCAGTGATGACAAACCTGAGGAATTTTCTGAATGACTGCAGCAGGGAGGTAGTATCAGCCCATATTTCCACCGTCCTATCCAGCCAGAAAACTCCAGGTACTTTTCAGACTTGTTAATCAATGTTATGGTCAAGATCACTGCTGTAGACCACCACATCTACCAAGGCCACTCTTTAGCGCAGCCCGATGTTTATACCTTCCCAGCAGAAGGGCACCCACTCACCTGCTGCGTGTCTGGGACCCTGACTGGGAGGCAGAGAGGGGAGACTGAGCCCGGGGGGCTGCCTGGGACATGGAGGTGGCCGCAGAAGGTGCTTTGCTGGAGGAAGGAGTGCACATGTAGGCTCGGTTTGAAGTGGACACCGGGCGACTGAAATCCTGACTAGAGGACAGAGATGAAGAGGAGGCAGACTGGTTCCGTCTCCACGAGCTCATTCTTGAAGAATCAAGATTGTCCAAAGACTCCCCTCTGTAACAAGAGGCACACATACAAGTGTAAATGACAGTACGGCTGGAGCAGAAGAGCTATATTCTGATTTTTTTTTTGGAAAAGGAAAACATTATCCTAGCATTTTTAAGATTTTCTAACATGAATATGCTTGTCTGATCACCCTGAGCAATACTCTTCACATATTGATTTAAAAAGTTTGAGCTGCAAATTATCCTTTGCATCCAGTCTTAGTCTCATGGGAAAAATCAGGCAAGGCAAAAGAGAGGTGGCACTTAACCACTACAGAATAAGGGCAAAACACTCTTCACTGCAGTCTTATCAGGGTGAACCATATCAAAATCCGCTGTACAGCAACGGACCTCAGATACCAGGTTTGTTTTTGTTTTCTCCAAGGGATACCAGATCAAAATAGCAATCCACCCAGACTGGATAGCATCGTCTAGGTACAAGGTGTTGGCCCAATAGCCAAACGCTCTCCTGACTGGTAACTTTGTTGTTTCCTAAGCGACAGATCCAACATTCATACATTACTTAAAGCAAGAAACAAACTCCAGTCCTTCTGACACTTTTCTATGTCAAAGAGGTATACTCTTTAGCTATAATAATCAATTTCCATAATAAATTGTCATATTGAAATTCTTAAGCACATCCATCAGTGAGTGACAAGGCACACTATTGATTTCCATTGCTGATATACTGACCAAGAAATAAGCAGCTGAGTTATTTACAGGTCATATCCACATTCTTTACACTTTTTTTTTTTTTTTTTTTACATTTAATCCCAGCTCTAATACCGCTACTTTCTTTTATCTGTGCTGCTATTCAGTTTACCTTACAGCATTTAACAGACTCAATTTGTTTCTGTGCTCTGTAATACAAGCTGAAGTTTAGAATAACCAAAGAAAACTATTTGATGAGAGACAAAGTTAATTTTTAACATGATTCCTACCTCCTCATACTATTGCTGCACAGACTAATGGGCTCCTTATGTATACTGGAACTGCGCTGCCTAATCCAGCTGCTGTCCGTGTGTAGAGATGTTTTCTTTCTCATTTCCTGAAGGATTTGCTGTCTCTCCAGTTCTGCCGCAGACAGGTTTTGTTCCTTTTGAGACTTCTTCTGCAACTCACCCATGTTCCAGGACCTCTCCGAATACTTGCTCTGGGTACCTGTTCAGACAACATGTACAAACTTCAACTAGACACCTTAAGGCGCAAAAGCAGTTATCACACGTACTCGGTCTATAACTCCAAAAGCAGTTGCTCATCACCACATTCACAAGTTTCTCCAGTTCCTTTTTACAGCCAGGTGACCAGTATCAAACTTGGCAATACATCATTATTATTACACTTTTTTTATTCATGTTTCCATTGATGTGGCCCTTTACATTATGTTTAACTTAAATACAGTTAGGTATTTTCCTTCACTTCTCGAGTGTATACGCATATACATTTATACACACAAAGATGTATTTTTAAAAGGGCATGGTCTCTTTTAGTGCCACAATTTGGACTCTTCCTCCAATACAAACTGAAGCATGTATAGAATATATAGTTGAATGGTGGGATACCTTCTTTTCCTTTAAGATTTCATATTCTTTTTTTCTGTAAGTTCTCCCTGTTTTCAAGAATTCTTTCCTTATTCAAGGCACTAAATACATTGCTTTACCTTGCTTTATACAAGTATGTATGTATGCATGGGGGAGGGTGGGGGGGAGGGAAATCTTACAGAGTGTTTCTCTATTATTTGGATGGGGTGTTAACTAGTCAGTTGAAATGAGATTTATGGTATAGATGGCCTTTGAAATTTTTGATGAGGAAACAAACAAGCCATCTTTCTCTAATATGTGTTGACATGTTCAAAGGGAATCATTTTTTCTTTATTTCCTAGAGCCAGTATCTATTCTTTACACCAATACAGACTAATTAAGAAAATTACTCAGCAATAACTCATTCAACTGAAATTTCAATCCCTTTAAATACTGCTCTGACTATAGATTTGCTCTTGGGTTCATTGCTATAGATTACCATTATAAAATAGTGTGGAAGTTTACTCACTCATTAGTTTCAATGACTAAGCTTTAATGTGTGAAAGCAATGTGTCAATCTGCAATATATCCTCTAATACACCATTTACTTTCCTATGATTACTTGTGATTACTTTTTTTAACCACATTTTAGACACAGGAATAGCTTTCGGGCATTTTCTACTGTAACTTATTTATAAATGTGGGTGGTTTGTTTGCTTTACACACATTCCTCTAAAAACACAGTAAAGTAACTGAAGGACAACTCAAGAAAAGCAGCAAGAAACTGGAGTCCAGGAAAAAAGCCACTGTGACAGTATCGAGAGCTGACTTCTGCCTGTGTTATTCCTACACTAAGTTAAAAAGAGCAAACAGTTGTATTAAATACATTGGCATCTTGGTATGTGCAGCTTTTTTTATTGACAGAGTAAACATATCAAGAGCACATACATCTTCAATGATATACCTACACAATTGGTTTAATTTCATAGAAATATCAGGCATCTAAAATTTAGGCATCTAAGATGTGTTTGTAATCACTGCTACTGTCTTCAAGAGAGCAGTTAATCATATTTGTCCTAGGATTATACGTTGACTGTATGAATTTCCTCCTGCTGTTGAAACGTCATTAAATTGTGGCATGGTATGAATCTGAATTACAATGCAGCTATCAAAAAGCCCTCTGACAATTAATTTTCTTGGGATGACTATGCCTAATACACCTTTTTCAAAAAAACACATTTTAAAAATAATGGAAATTAAACAGTACTTACCATTTCTGATTGTGTTGAATTCATTCAGTTCTGAAGTTGATTTGGACTTATTTCTAAGGATAGAGAAATGAATGTTTTCTGTATCTCAACTAGGAGACCTCGTCATGGACAAAGATCTTATCATTGCAAACCACAGATACACAGACCCTTTTTCACCATCCCTGCAAACCACAGATACACAGACCCTTTTTCACCATCCCTGCAACAGCACAGGTGGTTGAAGGGGGCGGGGGGGGATGGGTGGGGGAGGAGAATGTCAATAGTTAGATGTCAATAGGTAATCATCGATTAAAAGTTAAAATTGAGTACTGAAAGTTCCCAGTGCTTCAGGTGTAAGGAACTGATCGTTGTATGTGCTTCAACAAAAATATGTAAAAACCAAAGTCCTTCCCTGTGGGAGCTTTGTGAAGACTGTAAAGTCAGACAGTCAAAGCAGTGATAGTTTTCAAAGCAGGTTTATAAATGATTTAACTTATTGAGAAACTTATTGAGAAAGTTATATCATGCTTCAGCACCATTACTAGACCATAAACAAAACAACTCCTCAAACACTGCATGCAGATTGTTCTCAGGAAAATTATTATTAACTGATTATACCCAGCAGCATAATTTTTTAATGAGTTTTAGCCAAGAAATGTCATTCAATATACAGGAAGACAAATGGCAAAAAGCTGTTTTTCTGACAGTATAGAGCAGGAGCTTCAGCAACACCTCTGTGCTGTATTATGTATGGGCATGAGCCAACAATGTGCACTTGCTGACCAGAAAGCCAACCGTATCCTGGGCTGCATCAAAAGCAGCGTGGCCAGCAGGTCGAGGGAGGTGATTCTGCCCCTCTACTCTGCTTTGGTGAGACCCAACCTGGAGTGCTGCGTCCAGCTCTGGGGCCCTCAGCACAAGAAGGACATGGACCTGCTGGACCGGGTCCAGAAGAGGGACACAAAAATGATCCGAGGGCTGGAACACCTCTCCTATGAGGCCAGGCTGAGAGAGTTGGGGTTGTTCAGCCTGGAGAAGAGACGGCTGCGAGGAGACCTTATTGCGACCTTCCAGTACTTAAAGGGGGCCTACAGGAAAGATGGGGAGAATCTTCTTAACAAGGCCTGTTGTGACAGGACAAGGAATAATGGATTTAAACTAAAGAAGAATAGATTTAGACTAGACATGAGCAAGAAGTTTTTTACAATGAGGGTGGTGAAGCACCGGAACAGGTTGCCCAGAGAGGTGGTAGAGGCCCCATCCCTGGCAACATTCAAGGTCAGGTTGGACGGGGCTCTGAGCAACCTGATCTGGTTAAAGCTGTCCCTGCTCACTGCAGGGGGGTTGGCGTAGATGACCTCTAAAGGTCCCTTCCAGCCCAAAGCATTCTATGATTCTATGATTATCAGTCTCAAGTAATACAGCCAGTTTCTTAGTTTAAAATACTTCGGAAAAAAACAGAAATCCTTTGCTGGGTCACAACTCAAAGCTGCTACAGCGATGTCTTTACATGTACAGCACTGGCTGCAAACAGCATGTTGAGGGAGTCTTGTCCTCTGTCTGTAAATAAATGATGCATAAACTGCATCACATTTCTTGCTCTCCCAAGTTCTGATTGTCTCTCCTATGGTGCAGACCTATTTTATTATCTGTTTGAGGAGATGCAACAATTTCACAGTTGCTTGTAGTAAACAGGAGCTCCAAAGAACAGGTGAGCCTTGCCTGGGATGCTTTTAGCACCCGAGTGTCCTCCTCACACATATATTCAAGATGTAACTATTTAGCACAGGCACCTTCTGAAGTTAAATTTAGATCTTCCATTAGTAACAGATCCATTAGTTGCACCCTGGTAAGTTTTGGGGTTCCTCTTAATATAAATAAAAAAAAAAAAAAATAAAAAAAGGTATGCTCACTCCAACTACAAGAAGTGACTAAATATGCAGCAGAGGTGATCTTTCAGAACTACTGTGGGATGCCATCTAAGACAAAGGCTTGATACAAATGTTCTGGATTTAGGCTACTTCAGCATTTTTTAACCATAGCCCAGTTATTAAAAGGGAGGAGAAAAAGCTATCTATTCAAAGAGCCCAAATCTGCAGTGGCTAATGTAGTCTATTGAAACAAACCCAAAGCAAACCCAAAAACCCAACAGTAAACCCCCCAAACAAACCACTAAGCAAAACAAAACAGATGATAGCCAAGGTAAGAGAGCATAACTTAACAAGTAGCACATCTGCTATCTTCCTGGTAAATATGCTGCCGCTGCCTCTTGCTTCTCTCCCAGTTTGCTCTTGCTTAAGTTGCACAATCCTGATTGGGATGACTGCACCTTAGTTTGTATAGCACGTTATGACACAACCACAATATTATCTGAAATTGTTTTCCAGCCAGGTAAGTCTAGTACCACCCACATGTTTACTTCCTTACAGTTCTGCTTCTCCCAGTAAAATTCTACTGACTGACTAACTGTTGTTTACAGCACCGTGTATAATTTGCCAAAAGTTTGGCTGCTTGTTTTCTCAATATGAAAACATGCCATAAAAACTGCAAAACACAGCAGCAATACAAAATATACACTTAGCTCCATGGCTAAAGTTTATTGGAAGTTTCAAAGCTTTCTGACACAGAAACGGCGATGTTACTGAATCTCAGCATAGACTGTATCACACATACCTGTCAGCAAATGACTGGCTAGGTTGCTCCCCAATGGTTTTAGAAACTTCATAACGCTCATAATGCCTATTAAGAAAAAAAAGATACATTATGTTCATATACAGAAAGAGACATATATAGACGTAGACATCAATATTTCCTACTAAAAATATTCAAAACAGATCCTTAAGGGAAAAAAAGGAAAAAAACCCAAACAGTTAAAATTCTAAGGAGGCTTAACTTTATCAGTCAGAAACACTGCTAACAAAAGAAGGCAGAAAAAGAAAGGTTGTCAGAAGAAAAACTGCCTGAAATTACATTTTTGTGAGTCACAAGGAATCCAAACCTGAGCATGCCAAAATGATTAATACTTATTGCTGAAGATGTGTCAACCTACCTATCGATTCAACTTCTTATTACCTGTCAATGAGAGGATGGCCAGCTCGATCCTCTATTGTTTTAGATACTTCATAGCGCTCATAATGTCTAGAAGCAAAATACAGATAAAAGAAAATACATATTAAACAAAAAAACATTTTCTAGAAATTGAACAAACAGTAAGCATACATAGAGAAAAATGAGAGAGTTCAGATGTGTTAGTTAGAAACATGAAAATACATGGGGAAAAAAAAAACCCAAAGACTTTTGAAGGTATTGCAAAAATTACAAGTAACAGTATAGAAAATACGTATTAAACAAAAAAACATTTTCTAGAAATTGAACAAACAGGAAGCATACATAGAGAAAAATGAGAGAGTTCAGATGTGTTAGAAACATGAAAATACATGGGGAAAAAAAAAACCCAAAGACTTTTGAAGGTATTGCAAAAATTACAAGTAACAGTATGTGACAGTGACTATCTCATCCGTTTCAAAGGAGGTAAGCTTTGTCCAAACACAGGAGTTCTCTAAAAGTTACACGTGTATTCTAGCAAATTGTGCCGGTGCAGTTGGTAACCCATAGAGAAGCACCCACTAACTTCCATAGACAAAGTTCTTCCAGCTGCCTGTCCCCAACCTCAGTGCTCTTTGGAGCAAGTATCATGCCATCACAGGTGTTTATATAACATTTCAGATTTCAAGTCGTAACTTTGGATATCATCGTAAAGCAAACATTTAACACTAGATATTTTAAATCCCAGTTTCACTGAACTTGTTCCTTTACTATTAAGCAAAGCCATCCTTGTTTAGCAAAACACATCCTTTGGCAGCAACCTCAGAAGCAATGAAATCCCCTGAGACTAAAGCATATATCAAGGATTTAGATATGCAGATACTGCAGCAGCTTAGTAAGTTACCGCACAAAGTCCTATTATCTTGCAATTGGGGCAAGCTAAAACTGTAGAGATACCCTGGCTCAGCTGCCAAGAAGAACCTGTTTAGCCATTGTAACAACTGTGCCTCTGCTTTGCTCAGCAGGGATCTCAAGCAGCAGTCATTTACAATGAACTAAAGTAACTCCAGGTCTCACAATGTCCCCTGCAAATATATGCAACTTTTAAATCATATTTTCTTCTCCTAGGACTTAACTTGACACCATGCATTATCTTGTCATCTCTTATTAGTTATATAAGAAAGGAGGAAACCCTCAAGAGAAACAGCAAAGCTCGTCATACACAAGGCAGTAAGCTAAATGCACAAGAAATAAGGAGAAGTTACTGTTTTAATCCGTTTCAGACAGATTAATCTCCCATGATGCCTGTAATAGTCTGAAAACTTCTGGGCAAGAACATACACTTGCAAACTAATAGTTGGGGTTTTTTTTGTCATTCCCCCCCACCCCGCCAAAAAAACCAAGCTGCTGAAGAAGGGAATGGAAGAAACTTTTTCATGCTCTAGAATAAATATACCCACAGTAGGTACTTCTAAGGCAGTATCTGTTCACTTGTATACCATGATACCCCTCATCAACAAATTAACCCAGTAGTGCAATTAAACTTTATTGTTGCACTGTCGAACTAAAATGAGAAGAGTCTGGTAAATCAGTCACACATTTGTTGAAAAAGGGTTAACTTGCTATTTCTTCTAAAAGCACTGTATGTTAAGCCACTGGCTCTCAATTTACAAGTTTATGCAGGGTTCTTACAAAATCTTCACACTAAGTGCTTCAGGTGATCTTTGATTTGTCTCTAATTACTGTATTTACACTTCCTATTTAAAAAGCGAGCTGAAGTGGGTTAATAGAGTACTTGATTCATGGGGAAAGACTTTGTCTTATGCTTGATAGCTTTAGAAAGAAAGGTTGTCCGGTGGTATCTTGCACTGATTAATCTACAGTATGAGTCTTACACAAATACGCTTATATGTTCAGGACAGACATCCTCCCTTTCGAAATGTATTTGAGTTTTTAACGTGGAAGGAAGAGAGAATACATCCCATCACCAGCGCACACCTTTGGTACTGAGGAGTCTCCACTGACACCTCCCTCTGCCTTTCAGCCTGCCGCCTCTGCTCCTCCATCTCTGCCCACCGCCTCTGCTCCTCAGCATATTGCTGTTCCCTCTCTTTACGCTGTCTCTCAAGCTCCAGTTCCTGGAGTTTCCTCTCTTGCTCAAAACGCAGGGCTGCTTCTTCCTGGATCCTCCGTTCCTCCCGAAGCCTCCTCCTTTCTTCTTCCTCACCCAGCAAGCGCGCCTCCAGCCCACTTCCTCCATCTCCTTCTGGTTCCTCAGGAGTACTCACTTCAGGGCTTCCTCTCCAGCTGGACACAGATGGAGCCCGTGCAGGGACAGACATTGTGTTTAAGGTTAGAACAGTCTGCTCCTGTAGCAAAGAAAATAATCATGTTTTTAGGCAAGGGAGCTGTTTTTTAAAAAGGTTGCTCACGCAGAAAAAAGTTCATTTATTCTATGAGGGAAGGCTGTGTAAAAAGCATCCTGAGCACTTTCAATGCAAGACCCAGGGTGTACTTTGGTTTCATTTTTTGAGTGCCTGCTAGCACATTCTCCTAATGCAAGAGCTTCATTCCACATGGTAGCCTTAGCGAGCACCACAGGCAGTGGGGCCACAACTATGTGAAACATTCTGCTTTCTAAATATCACTTAGATTTCAAGTCATCCTATCCCCACTTGTATCATCATGGAAAACAAACTGTTTCATGATACCTAGCATTTCTCCCTACTGTTTTGACTTAGAAACCCAAGACCTACCTAAGAGTGTATACAGTAAGATATACACTGCACGTGTACATCAGACCAATGAATTCCATGTGAATCATCATGCAGAGGAACCCCCCATCCTTCTCCATTCTCCTACCATTTGAAAGTCAAGCCTCAGACCTACCACCCTATGACTCTTCTCTCAGACATGAAAAAAGGTCTTTCAGCAGTCAAATATGGTTTAACTGCAGAGAACAAATACTGTCTGTCAATTAAGGACTGGTCCATCCAAACTTCTAATGATAAAAAAAAAGTTTACATTCCTGTACAGCAAAGTCCTCTAACAGCTCAAAGAGCTTTCTTACTGAAGTCCTAAGCCTTACATTACTGTCTACTTATTTGTGACTGTATGAACACAACTGATCTAGCTAGGATGCCTGAAGCAGCACTCTCACAGGAATAGACAAGAGATATCTCATCCACCTCCCACACTCAGGAAAAAAATCTTTTCATCTTCCCATAAGCAACAGCCACAAAAGTCAGCATCTACAGAAACTACACACATTCAATGTTTTGAAACATATGATAGCAAATCTGAAGTTGATTTGACATGTAAATTTATCAGAGATGGGATGAACTGGTTGCCAGTAACAAGCCAGGCATTTACAAACATGCCTCATGATGAAGTATTGAAGCAGAATTCCAACAAGTAGCATCAGGAGGTAAATATAAGCAAAGGTGACCATTTCATTCAGGTCACATTAATACATGCTGTCACTTTTTGCCAACATATTTCTGGTGTTAGTTACCTAACCAATCCATCCGTAAAGAAAAAAAGTCATGTTCAACAGGTCTCGAAACATCCCATTTACTCTTTCCTTACCATTTTTGCAACCTCTTTCTACCAAGTCATAGACAACAATTTATTTTCCAAAATGAGAAGACAGATGACATAGCAAAAGAGATTATTTGCCTGCTTGCATGCGTCTACTATTAGGGGAAAAAGCCATCATGAAACTAAACAGTCAGAGGTGAGGCTTACCTCATCAAAATACTTGGAGCTCTCTTTTTCTGCTTCTTGCTTAGCTCGTAGCCATTCTTCCCTCAGTTTTTCTTGTTCCCGTTCGTATTTCTCCTGTTAGGTTAGATTGAAGTTAAACACACAAATAAGAATCATGGTACTTGCTATTTGCATTAAAATGCACTACTGGTATTTAATGCATTTTTTTAACAGACCAGCATGGTAAAAACATGCTTGAGCTACACTAGAACATTACTTCTGACATGAGTGAATGAAATCCTGGCTCAAATACAATCCAAAGGAGTTCTGCAATTGATTTTGGAGAATCCATGCTTATTACATGCTAAGTCTCATAACAACTGACCTCATATCTGTTATTTTCACTGTCTTGCAGTTCAGTTCCCATTTGAACAAAAATCAGCTAAGGTATTTCTTGAAAGATCGAGTGATTATATTTAACTTGGAATTGGGCACATTAATATGGTGAATATAAAATGATCACTAAGTGAAATATGAGGCAGTAATTTGGTTTGAGCAAGAACTCTTGGTCTTTTGGAAGCTTATCTAAAAACAAAAAACAATTTCTGGACCTCCAAATTTGTCCTATGTCTGGTTTTGGTATGAAATCAATGTAATGTCTTAAGGCTCAAGGTGTACAATAAACATTTTTGTGGTTTTGTCAGTCACCACCTAGGTCTTGGGAAAATCAAAACATTTAATGATGTCAAAAGTATTCCTTCTAAGATGTTGGAAATAAGCAAAGAAAGACTTTGCTTCCTTTCTCGGTTATTTGAAAATTCATTACTGGGATCGTGGTGAAGAGAAAGAACATGATTTCTCTGGCCAAATTTACTACTTCAAGACTGAAAAAGCAGAAGCAAAGAAAAAAAAAATGATGGCAGAGGGCTGAGATTGCTTTCAAGAAAGGGGAGCCAAGGTTTACATTCTTTAAAGCTATCTCTTCAGGCATCAAATAGAGCACCCAAACCATAACAGAGACCACAAATATGTTTAGGAAGGCCCAGCTCTTGACTTGCAGAATTTGTAAGCTAAAAGGAATGACAAAAGATAAAACATCCAAAAAACAACAGAGTTGCTAAGCTGTACTTTGACATCACCGTTTTCTACTGAATGCACCAAACTTAAGAGGGATTGTGCAGAGTAAATGATGTTCACTGACGCCTCTCCTAGCAGACAGACTTTAGATAACTAACTTTACTTTGCAGAGATGTGTCTTGCTGAATGAGCTTATGCTTCATTGAGCTGAAGTCTTTGCAGAGATGTGTGCTTGGTTTCTTGTGCTCTCCTAAGATGACAAACATTGCCTCTTCCGTCTGCAACACTTCCCTTGGTCTCTAGCAACTGGTTATCCAGGTGGTTTTGCATTAGGAGGTTCAGCTTCCTGACTCACAGAGGTCCTGGGAACCAGGTTGATTCCAACTGATTAGCTGACTGCTGAACAACAGGATGCTCACAGACATCTAACCATGGCACTAGCTGCCTTTTTTTCATCTCTGAACATAAGGCAGTATGGCTAATTGAAGGTAAAACTCATTCTAGAGACAATTTTCTTAAGGGGAAAAAATAAAACTCATTCAAAAGTGAAGACTACTGCCCCTTAGGTCTTCACTTCTCCTTTAAATTCTGTTGCCCATAAGAGCACACGAGCCTTGTGATGATTGAGCACTTCTGGCTGTAACGAATACTCAGTCTGGGCTTGCTTTCATGAAGCTCACTAATGTGTTGTCCTCTTTTGGCTGAATAATTGCTAGTGTGTGTAACTGTGCAGCCCAGCAAATGTATCTGAACGTCCTCTTAGGCCATCAGTAAGAAGAGTTGCAGGAGTCACATGTTACTTATCTTCCCAAACAATTGCTGCACCCAAGGGATTGCCAGCCTATTACTATGAAGATTAATTATACCTGCAATAAACGGTCCTGCTCCTTTTGCCATTTTTCCTGTCGTTTTCGTTCTTCCTCTTGATCCCAAACCCGACGACGAGGAGCACTAATGGATGGGACTGGGAGCTAATATAGCACAGAAATGAAATAATATTATCTTCTTCCATGTAATCAACACTCTACATTTTAAAATCTTTTTTTTTTTTTTTTTTTTAAAGTGAGAAATAAAAGCCATTAAAACCAAACAGTTTTATAGCAACAAGGACCCTAAATTAGCCTTTCCTTCAAAGGGACAGAAAGCAACCATTCCATTACACATTAGAAAAATCTTAGTCAGTACTCTGAGATTTGATCACAATTTTAAAGAAGTATAAAAAGCAATACAAAGCAGCAGGCTTTGAAAAGATCAGGATTATACAACTAATTAGTACTTTATAAATACTACTTACATCAGGCATTGCAGGCTCTGGGCCTCCTGTGAGATTTGGAAGACAAAAACCAGAAATCATTAGAACCATACATACTCACTACTGCAAGACTTGTGTAAATGTGGAAAGTCTGAGCTTCAGACTAATTTTTGCTTCCTTAGTAAGCCATGCTTGCATTTTGCCCTACTGAACCTACTTGAGGTCAGAATTCATTAGGTGCTTTCAACTAATGTGCACAACTGTTTAAAAGCTTTACATGCTTACAAGTACCATCAGCAATTTTTTGAATTAGCAGTACATCTCCCACCATGGCACTACAGAGGTTCTTTGCTATACCTCTCCTATTATTATTCTAAGACCCAACTGTTCAGCATGTCCAACAACTAGAACGCTACTCCAGGGTAGAGCATCTACTCAGCTACTGCCCTTGATGTGAATTAAGAGCAACAGACATCCACAGGCAACTTCTCTACCACAAAACCATGTATTTTCCCTTTCCTACTGTCCTCCTTTCCTACTCCCAAAAGCAAACTTGAATTTGGTGAGCTTGTCACCATTCGTCACAAACCTTATGCTATTTGAGGTTATCATGCTTGGTCTTAGCTTGTGCCAAGATGATTATTAGAGAGCCACGTATTATGCTAATATATTAAAAGTCGAGAAAACATGGAGCACAAATTTAAGTATAATCCTTTCCCAAGCATCATCACTATTTTTGTTTGTTGCTAGTGTGCTTGTTAGTTAGCTGTCCAAATTTCAGTAAATAAAAAAAGTGTAAAAGCAACAAGTTGCAAGTTTTCTGAAGTATGACTACATGAAGTGGAAAAAAGGTCAAATTTAGGATACAGAAGACATCTAATGAGTCACAGACTAGTGTCCAGTCTATATATGCACAATTTTGTCTTCATTAGCAGTTTGCAACAGCTATAGTGACAATAGTACAAACAGACTTGATCTCCTGCAATTGTGCCAGGAGATGCTAAAGGGAGGCATAGGCAGCACCTATCTTTGCTCCCCTCTTCTCTCACCCCTGTAAGCTTATGCTGGCCTGTACAGGTTTAGAAAGAAGAAACCTTCATATCATTGTAAAGCTAAAGTGTCAAAAGTTTAAAATGAACTCTAGAAATACATCCTTCTCCTCCTCCTCAAGCACAAGTGAAATACTTCAATATTGCTATAAAATTTATTAAAATAAAAAAACAAACTTCATAGCCAGCCTTTAAAAAAAAAAGAAACAAAACAAAAAAAAACCCAACAAAACAACCACCAACAAAATACCACCATATCACAGATACAATGCGGCAGAAGTACTTAAAAGCAAACAGAACCACAAACAGAGATTTATGCTGTGGCACTTCACATATCACTTCTGGAAAAAAGAGAAGCCATCACCACTGAAGGCAAAGATCTGGCTCCACTAAAATGATTGGCAAAATTCACACTGAACTTCCAGTGGGCCAGAATTTCACTCTTTCAGGCTACAGCAAAACAGCAAGGCATACATAGTCTGAAGACAGCATTAGACATACAACATTAGTGGAAGTACGTGAGTTGTGACATGCAAAACACCAAAAAGCAACCTACAAAACCAAAATTGAGTGCCTCATTTTTTTGCCTTTAAAAGCTAGGATATTCAATTCAAAATTTATATTGGTCTTCCTGGGATCTTGCGACATAACCACAGAGTGGAAAGCCAGCAGCTGCCTTTTTCCAGCAATTCAGATGAAAGCACAGAGCTGCAACTCAAGATAAACTTGAACCCAGAGTCAAGTATTTTATCAACAGCTCTGAGATCTGCGCTAAGCCTCTGCTGGAATAGTCAACGTTATTCTTGGTTTGTAGGTAGTAGCAAACCTGAACACAGAGTGCTATCGTTCTTACTCCTACCCAGTGGAAAAAAAGTATGAACAACATAGAAGAGATTTAAACAGCTATAGATAGAAGAGAACAGACAAAGACCCATTACCACAAAGGTAGACCCATGAATTGTAAGAATAATCTGATGACCCTGGGGAAAGAAGGGAAATTAATTATGTTGCTTCGTTGTAACTGCAACAAACAATTCTGAAGAGATATAGTACCCAGCACCAGACTTGTTAGATAGAGTGTGCAGCAGGAACAATTTCATGGAAGTACATGAAATGTTAGCTCATTGGTTTACCTTGTTCAAAAAATTGTGACCGTCTTTTTAAGTTTTTCAAAGAAATAGGTTCAGATGCTATTTGAAAAATACAAAGAATACAAACAAGTCAATGAGGTGCTGTCTTTTTGGGTTTTGTTTTTTTTTTTTTTTAAAACCACTAATGCCACTGGATAACAAACATTTGTTAGACCTCCAATCTACAGCAACATCACTTCAGAAAAATAAAAAGCCCCTGAAACACAAAGGAAATCTAATCTTTTGTACTAACAAATACAGTTTTTAGTAGGTTACATCATGTACTGATTAGTATTTCATCACTAACAATGTCCAACTATAACAACAGTACAAGCGTCAAACTTGGACTCAGATTTTCCCTGTCTAATTTAAGCCACCTCGACTGAGATGCCAAATTGGAATAAGGAGCCTAATCACCATTTAAGGTCATCGGAAAGGCATCTCCAGAGGGCAAATGGTCTCTTGGGGGAACTCTTCTATAAATCACCATGCACATTCAAGATAAAATGAAATACAAAGTTTCCATTTAAGGATTACTGTGCCATTAGGAAGTCTATGTACCTGGTTTCTCTCACCGTCATCAACTAAGGCTATAACTGTTCATAGCATCTTAAGTAATTATTATTCATACCAGAACCATCAAGATCGTTCTCCAGGAATAAAAGTAAAATAATAATAGTAAAACAACCATTACCCCTAAAACCTCACAATTGAAATAGAGAGGAAAAAAAAAAATTAATACTTTTTACACTCTTCCTGGGCAGTGAAATAAATTGATACTCATACTGACTCAGTCTCCACACGATGTAGTGGCAATTACAATAAATTGCGTGCCTTCTCTTCACCCCTACCACACAGTGAATTTACAACCACTAATGCTGAGATGGGAGGGCTGTCACTGCTATGTTGTCAATTCTCCAAATGCCTAGCACGTCGTGGAAGCAAACTACACCCCGTTTGGATGCAGCTAGATCTCTGTGATACCTGTCTAGCTTTCAGTTCATTAAGGTCTCGCTTTGCCCACTGTATAAAGCTTGCAATGATTACAGGTTTAGTGTCTGTGCTTGTTCCAAACCCACACAAATAGCGGATGAAAAGCAATGGTAGTTTACCTCTTTGTTCGCTAGAGCCAAGATCTCTTTGCATTCCATTTATCAGCTTTGTTTCTGTATCCTGAAAAAATACAAAATAAAGGGCTTGGGTTCATTAGATTTGTGGAAGTTTATCCAATCAGACATCTCCCCTGACAGGAACTGTGTATCACGAAACACCTCAGAACACTTTCCACAGAAAGATACAAAATTATCTAAAACTTCCTGAGTGTATTATATGATAAAATGACTGCAGGCATTTGAGGGGATCAATAACCAGCTGTGAATTGGTGGCTGAAATAAAAAACATCAGTTTGCAAGAAAATGCCAGAAGCTGAGATCTTCCTATTTCAGCTCCTTGGCAGGCAGGGAGTTATTTGCAAGTAATTTGAAAGCATAGAATCATAGAATCGTAGAATGCTTTGGGTTGGAAGGGACCTTTAGAGGCCACCTAGCCCAACCCCCCTGCAGTGAGCAGGGACAGCTTTAACCAGATCAGGTTGCTCAGAGCCCCATCCAACCTGACCTTGAATGTTGCCAGGGATGGGGCCTCTACCACCTCTCTGGGCAACCTCTTCCAGTGCTTCACCACCCTCATTGTAAAAAGTTTCTTTCTTATGTCTAGTCTAAATCTATTCTTTAGTTTAAATCCATTATTCCTTGTCCTGTCACAACAGGCCTTGCTAAATATATGTATGTATATATATATTTGCATGTATATACCCTTGTTCTTTGGGGCTGCAACTTTCATTTACACTAATAATGGAGGTAGAAGTCTTTACTAAAGACTAAACGCTCTATACATTTTAGTTAAAACATAGTCTGCATAGTCTGCAAATAGTTTAATACCCATCACTTAGCAGTGTCCACTCAGGAACAGCCAGTAGCAAGTCTTTAAAACATCTTATTTACCTTAGTAAGTACATAGCTACATCTCTGTATTTGCAGTATCCTGTATGTTCCCTAAGCAATACAAGTAAAAGTAAGATTTTCAAGGTCTCTTCTCGATCCTCCCCCTATCAAGGCGTTACATTTTTTACTTTCTTCCTCCCCCCAGAGCCCACAAACCTTCAAAAACATACTCACAGAACTTCGAAGGCTGCTGGAAGAATCTCTTTTTGTTGATATGGTGGAAACATTTGAAACTTGTTCTCCAGAAGTTGCATCAATCCATTTATTTTCAGATGTACCTATAATGTTGGTAGCCATACTGGTGAGATTGAGGATTTTATGCCTTACATGTGGCAGGGAAGGCTGGTCTTTGCCCCAATCTTTTTGGTGTGTGGAGGATCAAGAAATTAATATAGACAGTAACGTCAAAGAACAGAACAAGAGTTAGTGAAAACACATTAAAATAACACAAAAAAGCACATAACAGAACAGCAAGAGACACAAATCAGGTGGAATTTGTGAAGACAGGAAAAAGGGCTTTTATGAGCAGACCGCCTTCCCCAAAAATGCATGTGTTAGTCATAAGCCAGGTGAAAGTTTACCAAACGTTTTGCTAATATGGACCCACAGCAGCTCAACATTACAGAGCAATTAGTATTCATTGGAAACTATTTCAGTAGCATTAGTAAGGATGGAGAAAATTCTTCCAACTTCACTCACACAAGGTACAATTTGCCTCATACACTATCCAGGAAGTGTCATTTTCATGTCTGTGCTTGTCAGGAAGCACAGAGGGCACAAAAAAGGCAGTCTAAACTAAACTAGCAAACCTGATGAGGCAAACACAAATTATAATCTTCACTCAGACTCCATCATTTCTCCCCTCCCACTACGTAAAATTTACTCAATGAGTTCTTCTCCACTAATCTCACTCTCCATTTGTGCTAGGCCCTGTAGAAGTTGTGATTTGTTTCTTGTCTCTTCCTCAGTTCCCTGCTTTCCCCCACACACACTTGCTGGTACCTAGTGGGAACCTAGCTTCCCACTAGAATAATTTTTTGTATTTATACTGTGAAAGAAGTCATTGGTCACACTTCCTACTCTGGAAAAATTCTTTTGGGACTTTAAAAGGGTATCCTGATTAAACCCATGGCAAGTCTAGAGATGCTACAAGGCCTTCAGCAAGAGTGGAAACCCTCACTAGCCAGAATGGATAGTACCACCCTGGGGAGGTTACAGCATCACAGTATTTGGGTCAATGGCCAAAATTGTAGCACAGAGGTGCTACATTACCCACAAGCTCATACACCACCTGAAAAAAAGAACACAAGATCCTCCTTTCCTGAAGAAAGGGAGCTGCTGACTGAGGGAGAGAGGCTCTAAAAATTACTATCCTCTAGAGACCAGCCCCTCTTCATTTTTGTGGTATGGCAGGAAAGAAAATGTTATATTCCCTTGTGTGGTGGTTGCACACTTTTTTACCAATGCATCCTCTCCGAAACAGGCCAGAGCACAAGAGAGAGGCCAGTAGTTCAATGCTTTGTAGACTTGCTTGTGAAGACATTTCTAATGCACGAGTAGTTAAAAAAAGCCAAGTTGTGTTAAAATGCAACAGACACACTAGCAAACTACTTAGCTTAGATACATATTACTACTGTAAGGGTAATAAGGACTCTCAGCTGTCAAGCACAGCAGAGACAAAGCTTATTTGCCTTACAGAGCATACTGTATCGGCCCGACGAAACAACTCACCATTCTTTCCATATCGTCTGACATCCATGACCAGGTTGCCAGTTTCTAGGGCTCTGCCGATGGCTTCTTCCCACTGACTATAGTCCATACGTGAAACCTTTGTGCCGTTGATAGCAATGATCTCATCATCTACATGAAGCTGACAAAGTGCTGCAGGGCTACCTGCAGAAAACAGAAGAAAAATGAGGTTATGTCTCCATTCACAATTATTTTTTTACCACAGTTGTGATTGGGGGGCAGGGGGAAGATCAGTCAAAGAAATGCTTATTAGTGGATATTCAGAAAGTCTTTGAAAAGTCTACTACACTGTAATATAAGGTCAGTAAATACAGTTAATATCAAAGTAGTGTTTCAATTTGAAACTTACGAAAACGACAAAGAACATCAGTCTTTTAGACTTGCAAGCATTCACATTCTGGCTAGCCCATTTAATAAACAACCTTTGGGCCCACTCCTGCCTTCAGTAACTCACCTTTATAATCTGTGATAGTGAGAGAGAGGCAGCACCACAGTGCCTGTAGCCAACGATTAGCTGAAATTCAGCCAATGTTTGGGTAATCCTCTTATTTGCCAAAAAACCCAGCCTCCACTTTGTTAATTCCAGTAGAAGCTGGCTTTCTCGTATTCTTATTTACATTTTCTGGGCTATACTGACAAGAACATGCTGCTTCATTGCTTTGCTAAAATAGTTTGTTAGCTCTGAATTGACTGGTAATTGGACTCAAGATATTGCTGGGTGTTGTCCCATTAGGCTTCTCTGGATTCTACTTATTTTGTCGATTAAGAGCAAATTTTATCACAGCTTGGACTTTGAATTCTACTGATACTTTGCAAAACAAGCTGCACTTTATACTCTTTTTCATCTACCACTAAACATTGGCAAGTGATCTTACTAGCCTAAGGACACAAAGCATACAGGACCAGTTAAACTTTTTTCTATTTAATTCAGAAAATGGATGAGCTGAGAAATTCAGACTTGTTTCAGTAAGATTTTATGAATTACATCTGAACTGCTCTTCCATTAACAATTATTCCCTTAGCAGAATATAACATTGAAAAGATAAATGAAAATGTAATTAAAGATTGTACAATAAATCCTCACATTAATAAAACAAAACAAATTTGAATTACACAATGGAAGAGTTGTCCAAAGTTAGTAGTGAAATCAATGTATCACATTTAAAATATACCAAGAACAGTGCTATATTACATTATCAGAAACAAATGTGGACAAGCATGACAGAAGAATTTAGACACTGTATGTTTCATCCTGACTTTCTTCTGACTCACTAGTAAAATGCTGCTAGATGTCTGGATCATCCACTAAGGATTCAAATACCTTTTAATATTTCTGGCACCCCAGGAAGTTAAAAAATGAAGAAAAGTTGTTTCTTAATACTGCACCAAACAGTGATCCATCATAGTTCACTAAAAAAACCAACACTAAGTAGTATGTTAGAAGAGCATAGTTCCAATATTCTATTTTTCTGCATGCTTCTTAAAGTATGGACTAAAAACTCCATTAGCAGTTATCAGTAAAATCCTCCAAACACACCAATTACTTTTAAGCAATATTATAGAAGAAAAGGTAGGGTTTTCCTTTGGAGGAAGAAAACTAGATAAACTAGAAAAAATGTGCATCTCCTTAGAGCCAGGATTATGTTAAAGAATTAATGGATTTTCAAATCTATTAATGAAAGGTACTATTAGAGATACTATTGAAGATACTACCACTGAATTTACTATGTTCAACATCATATAACATTTGGAATGGTGTCTCATTTCAAAGTCTAAGATCTTGTACCATATAGTTTGACTACATGCAGACTGAACTTTATGCTCACGATACAGGGAATGCTTTAGGGTCAAGGAAAGACATCAGAACTGATAATGTCCCTGTTCTGTGTAGTGACAGAACAAGCCCTAGGAACGAAAAAAGGTAGTGTTCATTTTACTCACATAATTTGATTGGGATGAGACCCAGTTCAGAGGCGAGAACAGTACCTCAGCTCAGTTACGGTAAGCACATGAGGGAAAAAGTGGGTTACAATTCAGGCTTTAGGAAAGGAAGGAAATTCAAGATTGCATAGTTCCTCCACCAGAAAAACACATCCAGACCATACAGATTTGAATGAATAGCAGCAGTGTCTAGATTGCACGTGTAGACCCTACACCGCCAGGACAACTTACGCTACTCAGTTTTTGGCACGTAACTTTGCCAGCTGCTCTTCCTCTACTGCTTCTACAGTCTGTGAATAAAAGGGCTTCTCAAGAGTGCAAATCAGGGCACCTATATTGGGCTTCTGCTCCGATTCACCTCCAGAGAAGTCTACAGAGACTAGCTGGCAACTGAGGTGCCAAAAGTTGTATGGTGCCAGTTCCCCTTTTCTGTCCAGTTCCCCCAAGACTACAGTATTTACTGATAATTTCTTTATACCTATATATTCTCTCTATATAAAGGATTTAGTTTACATTACATAAACCAGGTATTGCTGTTTTTCATAAATATCCCTGAAGGTAAAAGATTTTTCTTTCTTACTACCCCCCAATGAAAACAAACCCAATCAAATTCACTCTTTTTCCATGCGTATTTGGTTATCTCTAGCCTATTCCCATCTGTTGTTATTCCAACAGATAAATACTAGCTTAGAGTCATACAAAAAAATTAAAACTTGAAACAAGTGGGTCAAATTTACTTTGTCCTACATGCCTGCAAGTGTTTGATTGCAGACGTGTGCACTCCTACATCAACACCATATCAGAAAATGATTGGAAATAGGGTGGGTGAAAGGGAAAGACCTGAAACAATAAAGATTATACGGCATTGGGGAAGCTGGCAGAACAATGTCTAGATTAATGACTTTAAGGCTTTCTATTTACCTAATTTTTAGCATAAAAGTTGAAAATTCCTGTAAAAAATGAGCACTATCTCCTTTAATATGTAGTAAATGGGTCTCACTGAAACGTGTTACAAGCTTAACTCTTAAGTGTCTCTTTTTGAGAACACTTACAATAAGTTAATTTTGCTTGCCAAGTAGTTTTCTTAACATTTTTTTGAAGGAAAAGTATATGTAGAATACAGAGTCTTTTACATTTACAAGTAGTAAAAAGATAAATACGGGTTATCACCTGAAGAAAATCATATAGCTAGTCAGGATGACAAGTATGTCAAGACAATCGGATAAAGTCTTCCTGGAAGCTATTTCTGGTCTCAAGAAAAAGAAAAAGGTGACTGGTAACAGTTGGTATGGATTTGCCAAGCCTAAATCACGCTCGATCAACGCAGTCATCTTCAATGATGAAATGACTAGATATGTGGATGAAGGGAGAGTGGTGGATATCATCCATTTTGTCTTTAATAGGGCTTTTGACATGGTCTTCCACAGTATCCTGGTATCAAAGTTGGGATGGTACTGTCTACAGGGCAGAACTAGATGGGTGAAAAACTGGCTGGGCTGTCAGGCTCTATGGGTAGTGGTTAATGGTTCATACTCAGCCTGGAGGCTGGTTACAAGTGGAGCTCCCCAGGGATGTATCCTGGGACCTGTCCTCTCTAACATGTTCACCAATAACCTGGAGGAGGAGGAGGAGGAGAAACACAACCTCATCAAGTTTGCAAACCATGCCAAAAGGGAGAGGGTGGCTGATAGGTGGGCGGGCAGGGCTGCCATTCAGAGAAGGAACCTGACAGTCAAAAAGGGCAAATGCAGAGTCCTGCTCCTGAGGTGGACTAACTCCAGTGGTGGCACAGGCTGGGGGCTGATGGGCTGCAGAGCAGGGCTGGGGGTACCCCAGCAGTGGTGAGGCTATATGAACAGATCGAGGGAAGTGACTATACCATTCACTCAGCACTTGTTATGCCACATCGGCAATACTGTGTCCAGTTTTTGTGTCCCATTGTAAGAGAGACATCAATAAACTGGGACAAGTTTCATAGGAGGCCACCGGGATGGTCAGGGCTGGAGCACTTGCCCTGTGAGGAGAGGCTGAGGGGTATAGGCTTGTTCAGCCTGGAGATGCTGCAGGGGGACCTAACAGCAGTGTTCCCAGTACCTACCGGGAGGTTACTGAGAAGGGAAAGCCTGCTCTTTATTGAAATTCATGGCAGGAGAACACAGCACAGTGGTTATAAATGGAGACAAAGGTCGGTCTGACTGGATATGCAGGGAAAATTTTCTCTGAGAGGATAATTATGCAATGCCCAGAGAGGCTGTGCAGTTTCCATCCTTGGAGCGTCTCAAACCCACCTGGGTGAGGCCCTAGGCAACCTGGTCTGAATTCAGTCTTGACAGTTTTTTGAGCAGGGGTTTGCTCTAGGTGATCTTCCAAGGTCCCTTCCAACCTGAATTATCCTGTGACTTATCCTTAAAAATAGGAAGCGCAACATTTAGTTGTGCCCAGCTGAAAGCACATCTTACTCTTTCAAAGGGCTGTCCATCTCTTTCATCCTTCTTTGCTTTAAAGGAAGCTACAGCTTTTGAATAAGGATACAACATGGAGTCAATTGTTGAAAAAAAGATGTTAAGCACATGTTATAAACAAGAATATCAAGATACACTCCATTCTCCATTTAATCTTTGTATTTGTGCCCTTCCTTGGAAGGATGGTAATAAAGCATAACCAGGATAACAGCCACAAGGCCTTCATCTTTCCCTTGCCTACAGGGTTGGCGATAGAGCCTACATGGACCTTTCTGAATAACCAGCAGGAA